CACAGCCGCGTATGGACAGCAGTTGACGGGCAATGCGGTTACCGTCCTCGTCGTCGTCGTCCTCTTCTTCGTCCTCGTCGTCGTCGCCACATAAATATTCATCGATCGCAATCGTAGCCACCTGGCACTGCCTCCACGAGGGGCGGCTAATCACTTTGACCTTACGCGCATCCTTCTTTTAGAAGAGGAGGGAAACTTGCAAGGAGGTCAGTGCGGCGACAATGATAAGAGTGACAATTCTGTGATGTGGGCTGAGGATGATGGGAATGAGCAACCGAGGTACACAGAGGAGGAGTGGGAGGAGGAGGAGGAGGAGGAGAAGGAGGAGGAAGAGGAGGAGGAGGACGAAGAGGAGGAGGAGGAGGAAGACGAAGAGAAGAGGAGGAGGAGGGGGAGGAGGAGAAGGAAGGAGGAGGAGAAGGAGGGGGGGGACGGGGGGAGGAGGATAAGGGGCAGGAAGGGGAGAGGGAGGATGAGGGGAAGGAGGGGGAGGAGAAGGAGGAGGAGGAGGAGGAAGAAGAGGAGGCGGGGGGAAGGGGGGGAGGAGGAGGAGGAGCACGAGCAACCAAACCATGCTATTCACTGTATTTTGGTGTGCTGGTCCGGGACACCACCAAACACTGCTATTCACAGGTTTGAGTTGTCTTCGTTTCTCAACAGCTCCACAAACTTGAGCAGATCCTGACCAAGTTTGTGGAACTCCTGAAAGCCAAAAAAAAAATCGTGGCGAACGACCCAACTGTATGCACTTGTGAGTGCCACGTTGTGGGCACCGCTCTCGGTGGAGCTCCCTATGGGGCCACGACCCTCGTGAGGGGTGTGTCGAAATGAGCGGGGGGAGGCATGCTGATCCTGCCGCTGGGGCCTTCAGTGGAGCTCCCTATAGGGCCACGATCCTCGTGAGGGGTGTGCCGAAATGGGCGGGGGGGCGCAAGCGGACCCTGCCGCTGGGGCCTTCGGTGGAGCTCCCTATGGGGCCACGATCCTCGTGAGGGGTGTGCCGAAATGGGCGGGGCGACTCCCTGAAAACTGTGAATAATATGGTCTGGTGGCCACGCTCCTCCTGCAAGCCTTCCTGACGAAGGATGATGAGGAGGAGGAGGAGGAAGAGAAGAGAAGAGAAGGAGGGGGAGGAGGAGGAGGAGGAGGAGGAGGAGGAGGAGGAGGAGAGGAGGAGGAGGAGCGAAACACAGAGAGAAAGAGAGAGAGAGAGAAAAAAAAACAAAAACAAAAAAAAAAAAAAAAAAAACGCGGCGACTGGCTGGGGTAGGAGGGTCGCTGGGGGGGCTGCCCATATACATGTGTGTATATATATACCTATACGACCACCCTTCGGGTGATAAGGAGGTTGTGGGGGGGGGAGAGGGGGAGGAACCAACATCTGACTCAATCGATCTCACTATCGATCTCACTCAACGGGACACCATGGGACACCACGGAACACCACGGGACACCACGGGACACCACGGGATATTTGTCAATCTCACTATCAAACTAACGATCGATCTCACTCAACAGGACACCAAGGGACACCACGGACCACCACGGGACACTACGGGACACCGCGGGACACCTCTCGATCTCACTATCGGTGGCACTATCGATCTCACTATCGACCTCACTCGGCGGGACACCACGGGACACCACGGGACACCACGGGACACCTGTCGATCTCACTATCGATCTCACTGTCGATCTCACTCAACGGGACACCACGGGACACCTCGGGACACCTCTCGATCTCACTATCGGTGGCACTATCGATCTCACTCAGCGGGACACCACGGAACACCTCGGGGCACCACATCGATCTCACTATCGATCTCACGATCGATCTCATTGAACGGGACACCACGGGACACCACGGGACACCACGGGACACCTGTCGATCTCACTATCGATCTCACTATCGATCTCACTCAACGGGACACCACGGGACACCACGGGACACCTCGGGGCACCACATCGATCTCAGTATCGATCTCACGATCGATCTCACGATCGATCTCACTCAGCGGGACACCACGGGACACCACGGGACACCACGGGACACCGGCGGGACACCGCGCGGCACTGGCCGCCAGAGGAGAAACATTTGATCTGGCTGCGGCCCAACCACAAAAGGATTTCGGAACACCCGCGGGTCACCGGCGGGACACCGCGCGGCACCGGCCGCCAGAGGAGTTACATTTGGTCCGGCCGCGGCCCAGCCACAGGAGGATTTCCTCTCGCCCGCCCACGCAGTTTCGCCTCGCCCGCCCGCACGCACGGCACGCACGACACGAACCGGAAACCGAAATCGATTTCCTGGTAGGAGGGGTCTCCGTTGCACGTCAAACTCACCCCCCAAAATCCGATACATATATATATATATATATATATATATAATTGTACACAAATGTATATATACATATACATATATATATACATATATGCATATATATAAACGTTTGTGTGTATATATATATATATATATCGGAGGTGAGGGGGTGAGATCAAAGTGGAACGGAGAGCCCCCCTACCGGGAAATCGGTTTCCGGTTTCGTGTTCGTGCGTACCGTGCGTGCGGGCGAGGCGAAGCTGCGTGGGCGGGCGAGAAGAAAGTCTCCTGTGGCTGAGGCGCGGCCAGACCAAATGATTCCCTTCCGGCAACCGGTGGCGCGCGGTGTCCTGCCGGTGTCCCGCTGTGGCTGAGGCGCGGCCGGACCAAAAGATTCCCTTCCGGCGTCCGGTGGCGCGCGGTGTTCCGCAGGTGTCCCGCCGGTGTCCCGTCGGTGTCCCGATGATGATGATGATGATGATGATGATGATGATGATGATGATGATGATGATGATGATGATGATGATGATGTCGATGATGTTTTTAATGATAGTGATGATGATGGTGATGGTGGTGATGATGATGGTGTCCTGATGATGATGATGATGTTGACGATGTTGATGATGATGATGGTGATGATGATGGCCATGGTGGTGATGATGATGGTGTCCCGATGATGATGATGATGTTGATGATGCTGATATTGCTGATGATGATGGTGTCCCGGTGAGGATGATGATGATGATGATGATGTGGATGATCATGATGATGTTGATGATGATGAGATGATGGGATGATGATGATGCTGAAAATGATGACGATGATGATGATGGTGTCCGGATGATGATGGTGATGGTCAGGTTGATGATGATGCTGTTGTTGATGATGATGATGGTGATGATGATGGTGTCCCGATGATGATGATGCTGATGATGATGATGACGATGATGGTGTTCCGATGATGATGATGCTGATGATGATGTTGATGATGCGGATGATGATGAGGTGATGATGATGATTTTGATGATGGTGGCCCGATGGTGATGATGGTGATGCTGATGTTGATGATGATGATGATGACGGTGTCCCGATGATGATGATGATGATGATGGTGATGGTGATGATGGTGACGATGATGATGGTGTCCCGATGATGATGATGGTAATGGTGCTGATGTTGCTGATGATGATGGTGTCCCGGTGATGATGATGTTGATGATGTTGTTCATGATGATAATGAGATGAGATGAGATAAGATGAGATGAGATGAGATGAGATGAGATGAGATGAGATGAGATGAGATGAGATGAGATGAGGTGAGATGATGATGATGATGATGGTGTCCCGATGATGATGATTTGGACGATGATGGTGACGATGATGGTGTCCCGATGCTGATGATGGTGATGATGATGTTGATGATGATGGTGATGGTGATGATGATGGTGTCCCGATGATGATGATCATGATGATGATGTTGATGACGTTGATGACGATGATGTTGGTGATGATGACGTTGATTGTGAGATCGATTGTGATATCGATAGTGAGATCGATAGTGAGACCGAATGTGAGATCGATCGTGAGATCGATAGTGAGATCGATAGTGAGACCGATTGTGAGATCGATAGTCGGATCGATTGTGAGATCGATCGAATGAAATAGATCGAGTGGGATCGATTGTGAGGTCGATCGAGTGAGATCGATCCAGTGAGACCGATAGTGAGATCGATGGTGAGATCGATAGTGAGACCGATCGAGTGAGACGTTGGTTTCTCCCCCCGAACCTCCTTATCACCCTGGTCGTATAGTTATATCAGCATTATGAAAAATGAAAAAATGTAAAAGGTCGGATGGAGGGTGGGAGTGTTCTTGGAGGCCTCTTTGGGCCGTCCTGGAGGCCTCTTGGGCCATCTTGAGGTCACGTCGGTCTTTCTTGGAGCGCCCTGGTGCTGTCTTGGGGGTCTCTGGGACGTCTCCGATGACCTTCCTGTTCGCCCTAGGTGTGCTGGGAAGGCTTGGCAAAACGCCCTGCGAGGCCCGAGGGGCCGCTTCGAGGCCCGTCCGGAGGGTCCCAAAGCCCCAGATCCCGGGAGTCCGGTTTTGGCGGGGGGGGGTCTCCCCGCCCGGGCTTGCAAAAATATAGGAAGAGGAATATATCAGCATTTCAGAAAAAAATAGTCCGATGGGGGGTGGGGAAAAAAATCTGAAGGATAGATATTGTGAAGGGGCCCTGGGACACACAATTAAATACAGACAAATAAAAGGGTCCCCCATGTTTTCCCATATTTTCCGGGTTTTGGGTTTCCCCCCCCCTTCCCATATTTTCCCATATTTTCTGGGGAACCGACGATTAATTGTGTCTATGTGTTTTTTCCCTCCTGAATATTGAGCAACTGAGTGCGCAATAACATACGCGGGACAGGCCGGGCCACGACGGCACAGGTTCAGGGGAGAATGGACAGTAGCCCTCCTATCATGTTGCTGTGCCGGGGGCGTAAGAGGAGGAGGTGGGGGAGGAGGGGGAGGGGGAGGATGAGGGGGAGGAGGGGGGAGAGAGAGGAGGAGGAGGAGGAGGAGGAGGAGGAGGAGGCGGAGGCGGAGGAGGAGGAGGAGGAGGAGGAGGGAAGGAGGGGCGCCTCCCTGACACGGAGGGGGCCCCCATCTCGGCCCCCGCCCACCATCGTCTTCAACTCCCCGGACTCCACGAGCGTGGCGAGCCCGGGCGTCCCGTCGTAGACCCCGCCGATGCTCTGCCCGTTGATGAAGATGTGGGGCATGCTCGTGCGGTCCGTCATCGCCCCGAGCTCCGCGCGCTTGGCGGCGTTCTCCCCGTCCGCCAGGAAGAACAGGGGCGCCAGCTCGATCTCCCTGTAGTCGACCTTCGACTCGTCCAGCAGGCGCTTGGCCTCGATCGAGAAGGGGGACTGCGACAGGGTGTACACCACGACGGGCGCCGACCTCGTCTCCGCCTCGATGGCCGCGCGGACCTGGTCCCGGTCGTAGTCCCCGGCGGCGAACTTCGCCTGCGCCTGCAGGAGGGGCTTCAGCAGGCCGGTGATGGAGCTGCCGAAGTTCAGGAGCTTGTCCGCCTCCACCGTCGGCGCCGCGGCCTCGGCGGCGATCTCCGCCTCCACCGCCGCCTGGCGCCTCGCCTCCCTCTCCAGCAGGGTCTCCTTGCCGTCGGGGGCGGTGCCCATGGTCGGCATGCCGCGCATGGCGACGGCGCGCAGGGGCGGGCCCGCGGCCGCCCAGGGCCCGCAGAAGCACCCCGGGAGCGGCGCGCGGCGCGCGCAGAGCAGCAGGCAGGCGCACGCCAGGAGGCCGCCGAGGCGGGGCGTCGCTCCGCGGGCCATGGCGAGGCGCGCTCGACGAGAGCCGCTGGCGGGCGAGGGCGCCGGGGGCTGGGGGGGCGGCGGGGGTCGTCGGGGCACCTGAGC